GGTGGCTGCCATATTGACTTTTGGACAACCCTGAGTTGAGCATATTGATATCAAGACTTGTATGGACCATTTTTTGGTCCTTGGGTTCTTGTGGGATCAAAATGCTGGTGGGACATCTGGATCTGACTGTACAGATAATGAAGAGACTAGTGGCCATGCTTGATCTCATTGCTACCTCATTGATATTTCATCCCAGAGGTCTAGGGAATTCTACGTATTAGGCAAGTCTTGCCTTGACTACTGCTGTATGTTTCCTGTTAGACTTTCCTTGAAGATAGAGGAGAAGCTTCAACTGAAAGAAAATGCAGGAGATAAAAGCACGGAATTGTTTTGGACTGACAATTCTGACTGAATAGTGAACATAATGTATTTGCATGAACAAATGATTGTTTAAAATAAACCCAGTCTTTGCCTCTCTTCACTCTGTAACAACTGCAGAAAATATGCTCCCTGTTCCTCCTTTCTTCCACCTTGCCAGCATTATAGCCTTCTCTAGAGAGCTGGGTCTTCGCATAATGAGTCTAAAGAAGGGTAATTTGATCCTGGTCATTTGTGCCTCACACAATAATTCACTGAACAGTGAAAGAGAAGGAACTTCTCCTTCACTTTCTTGATCTTTTTTTCCTCTTTCATGAGGAAATCTTGAGTCATCTTGAGTCCACACCTATAGCCTGAAGTTCTAAATCTGAGCCCCAACTGTTGTGCTATAAAATTGCATTGTTTATCCTTCCAAGACTGTTACTTGTTTTGAAGTGAGTGCAGGATATAATCTACATGGCAAGCATCAACGTGTACTGTCACAGTTTCCTCAGCTTCATAGGAAATGGTGGGAACACCCTTTGACTTGCTTGCCAACATTCTGGCTTCACAGAAGACAGTGGAAAGCTTCACAGTGAACTCAGTGTGAAGGTACAATTCATTTGTGCTTCAAAAACCATACAGGGATAGGACTTGTGAATATCAAAACATTTTCCCCTCAAAATGGGAATAGTGCTCTTGGTTTTTTCTTCTCTTTCTCTCTTCCTGTCCTCTGCCTCCCTGGTTTAACAGGATGGCCTTGTCATACTGTGTGGACAGAGATGAAGAGAATGCACAGAGTGCAGGAATAACATCCAAAGCAACATGGAGACCAGCTGCCAACCAAGGTTTTTGAAAAATAAAATAATTAAAGGTTTAAATGCAGACTGAGACCAAATCCATTCATGGAATGCAATACAAATAAGCCAACACATCAAGGCAACAAGGAAGCCAAAACTTTTAAAAGTAAAAGACAGTAAGAGCAGCTTAGCTTCCACGTACCTAGGATTCTCCTCCTCCTCCTCCTCCTCCTCCTCCTCCTCTTTGGGCTGGGCAGTCTGCTGGCTAGGTCATCCATGCTGCATGTGGGTGTTGTGCAGCTTTAGCATTGGCCTGTGCAATGCAACCCAGCCAGGGGCCCGGGGTCAGCAGCATCATCCTCGGACACGCGTCAAGGGAACAGGAGGGAAAGAGGCATTCACGTTTTCTTTGACTGCTTTTCATCCGCAACTATGGAACCTTTGGGATGTCCAGTTTTCTGGCAAACAGATTCTCCAATAAGAGGATCAACAGACCATTCAGGGACTTTTGCGGCCTGTTGCTTTGCAAGTCATTTTTCAAAGAGAATTCCCTCTCTGAAGCTCCCAGAAAGAAAGGGTAGGCATGCCATGTGGAGTTCGGTAAATGTTGACAGCCGAGCATGATTTTCTACCATAAGAAGTTATGCAACTTCTTGATCTTGATCTTCTGAATTATATTAATTGCCCTCAAACTGTGTCTGTCAAGTAACTATCACATTTCTTGATCAGAAGTTCTCCACCTGCATCCAACCATCAAGAGTTATGGAGATCAGGGTTCATGTCTGCAGGAATAAAATGTGGAAGCCCCTTTATACAAGTCTATTAATCTATTTTTTTTTCTCTGAGATTGCTATGTCCAGTGTTGTAGCCGAGCATGATTTTCTACCATAAGAAGTTATGCAACTTCTTGATCTTGATCTTCTGAATTATATTAATTGCCCTCAAACTGTGTCTGTCAAGTAACTATCACATTTCTTGATCAGAAGTTCTCCACCTGCATCCAACCATCAAGAGTTATGGAGATCAGGGTTCATGTCTGCAGGAATAAAATGTGGAAGCCCCTTTATACAAGTCTATTAATCTATTTTTTTTTCTCTGAGATTGCTATGTCCAGTGTTGTAAAGAACATGCCCACTCTGCTTTGGTCTTCTGTGGATGGAGGACTTCAACATTCACAAAGATCATAGTGAAACGTCTTCACCCGTGGGACACATTGGTCTAGAAATTCCTATACCTCAGGAATGGGCTACAGCACTATTATATGTGATATTATACTGACATCCCACATCGTGCAAATTATTGAAAGGGGCCTGGAGAAGCCCTGCAGCTTTGCTTAACTCAGCTTGTGGTGACTACAACAGTTTTCCAATGCAGTTGATAGTTCCTACATTTTTGTAAATGGCACTATCTGTATAATTTGCCTGGAACTTCTCCATTTAAGATTTCAGAGCTCTAGCATCTGTTATGTCTTTTCCTTTCCCAGAAGAATTATTACAATCAGCAACTTGTAACAAATTGCGTCATAGTATGCTAATAATCTTTTGGACACAATGCCTCTGGCATAAGTTTGGACTAAGGTGTCATATGTAGGGACAGTGAATGCCATCACTTGATGCTGTTTGCAGAAGTAATTAGACAGACATACTACAACTCCAAAGTAGCTTCTTGCTTCTGGACAGCTGATGTAGCATCATTTAGGACTAAATTGAAAGTATAGGTAGCACGGTGGGTATATTGTATGTAGCACTCTATTGTCGAACTGTAATTCCAACTTTCAACCCTGATTGCTCATTGGAAGGATCGATAATGAAGCTCAAGCTCAGATATTTTGG